GGAATCTGGTATATACAGGAATAATGCTTGGGTTTTTTCTCTCTCTTGGTTCTAGAGGCTGGAGAGGACACTGAGTGTGTTTAACAAAGCCCATGAGTCTAATTTGCTGCCAGAAGCTCTCTATAAGCAGTGGGTAAGAGCTGACACATAGAATAGACTGGGGGGCTTTCCTGCCTTGGTTGTGTGCCTGTCTTTGCATTTTGAGGAGACACTGATGGGCAATTTGGTTCAAAGCCTTGCTTTTTAACAAGGTGTTCCAAGTCTCTCGTGCTGATGAGCTGTATCTGCTGGGTTTCAGCTTCAGCTGTTGCTGGAGTCCAACCTCTCTGAGAAGGCTGTGGAGGTGGCAGAAGCTGCAACCAGGCGCTTCAGCCTGTCCGTGGGCACGTGGCAGATGAGGCTGCAGGTGCTGATCCAGCTGAAGAGGGAAGATGTGACACAGTGTTTTGAAGAAGCCCTTAAACACGTGAAATCCCAGGTCTGTGCTGCTTTATGGACTTACATGACATGGGTCAGAAACCTCTGATCTTGGTTGCTTGGGGTTTTTTACCTTTACAAGGCATTCAAAGTCCCTAACAATTTTTAAGGTCAGATATATGAACTCAAAATTTCACATGCACATCGCGTTGCCAAGTATTAGGAAATTGTAAATTCACTTCAAAGTCACAGTTTTAAAGTCTGAATGCTCACAGGTGACATTTTGCACACTCTCCTAGCAGTGAGCTGGTATTCTTTGTGTCTTACTTGAAAAATGTGCTTCCTTTCATTCGCTGTCCTGACACATTGTATGGGTGGTATTTCAAACCTTGAGTTAGATGTGTGTTCTCCTACTGCTCCATTTCAAACCCTGGGCACAAGGAGTGAGGAGATGAAACAGGAAGGTGACTATTTCTTTACTTCTTGTTCTTGGAAGTTACCTTTGTACTGCAGTGCTCAGTGGTGCAGAACAATTTGTCTCATCCCTGGCAACGCAGCTGTCCAGCTAAAGAAGTATTGGGAAGGAAATGAGAAGTGATTTCAGGGTGCAGCCCAAAGTTGTCTTTCCAAGAGCTGTGCCTAAAGGACATTTTTACAGCAGCTAATACAGAACCTGGAGGATGTGTTGCTGTCTGTAAGTCAGTCACTGTATTTTAGGCATTTGATGTATCTGCTCACCCTGTAGGGCACTTTGGCACTGTGGACCCTCTGGGTGGAATGGAGCGAAGGAGCAAAGAGCAAGGAGGACACAGAAGCTCTCTACCAGGTACTGGGCTAATCAAAATCTACTTTTATGCCTGTGTAAATAAATGGGAACAATGTCTGTGAATGGAACATGTAACAAATGCTTTATACAGCAGTTCTGTCATGGATGTGTTGATATCAAAGAATTTCAAGCAAAATTGTGTGTGTTATCAAAAATCAGTTGGACACAGGCTTATAGGCACAAATGTCATTCCCATTCTTCTGAAACAGAGATGTTTGTAAGCACAACCAGTGATGTAGTATTACTTTTTGGTCTAGAATTTTTGCTCTGTTTCAGACACCTATCTGAACACAGAAGAGAGAATTTTACAGTCTGTGTGAAAACATCAGTTTTGTTATAGAAAACTCAAAATCAGAACTGGGACTTTAATCTCACTATAAATTTCCTCAATATCTTAGGGCAAAACATTTCCTCTTTGCCTGGCATGTTGGGTAGTGGGTTTTTTTCCCCTTTTACAATATGAAACATGTATTTCAGATGGAAGTTTTTAATTCAGCTGTTTGTAGAGTATTGTGAAACCCTCTGCATGAAGGGTGTTAAGGAAATGCAGTTGCCAGCTGTGTGGATTATTGGAGGAGAAATGTATTTTAGACTTAGGAGATCTGCTTTATTTCAGATGCCTGATGAGGGAGAAGGTACTGTTTAGTTTTGTCTCCCTTCTTGCCTTTTGATTGTAGGTATGTGATGGTTTTATTTTTTGTTTTGTGTTTTTCTTCCCTTTAAACTTGCAGAGATCCTTACGTGCCACAACTCCTGCTGAATCTGTGACTATGAAAGAAATGTATCTCGACTGGACTTACAGAAGTGGTGGTTATAAGAAAGTTAAAAAAGTCTTTACCAGGTAACAAATAAAACCTTCAAACCAGACTGTTCTAGGGTGTATGTTAAAAGACTTGAAGTCTAAAGTTACTTGTTTTATTTCAGCCTGTGCGAAAATCGTCCCTTCTCACTTGACTTCTTCAGGAAGATGATCCAAATAGAAAAGGAGCAAGTAAGTTGTTGAATATCCAATTAGTGCCTTGTATTTGTAAAATACACTTCTAACTTTGGATCTAAATAGGAAACAGAATGGTGTTGTCAGTCTGTGATCAGTTCGTGTTTGTCTTCACGAGTTGATTCCCAGGATGTGATACAAACCCAGTTCCATGGTAACTAATCTGGGGCAGTGTGTGTGTGTGCATGTAATTGCCATGACTCTCTTCCTTTGTAAGAATCTAATCAAGCTGCAGATTCACTTCTGTACAAAATAAATGGCCTTTTAATACCTTCCTTTGTTAGGAATCCTGCAAAATGCTTCATCTGAGAGAATACTATGAACGTGCCTTGAGGGAGTTTGGTTCAACAGATACTGGTAAGGGGATTCTATTATTTATTTATTCATTCATTCATTCATTCAGTGCTGCCTCTCATTTCCATCCATTTCAAAAGGTAGCTGCTTGTTTTGCCCTTGTGCTTGCTGTCATGCAGGGCAGAGCTTATTTCTTCTGTGCTATGAAGTGTAGGACACTGCAGTGACCCTCTGCTGTCAGCCCAGGGTCACGGGCACTGGGATGGCTTCAGCACCACTGGGAGCAAATCAGGTTTTGACACTGGCATTGTTGCATTATTTCTTAAGACATCAGTGTTCCAGCTGGGAATAGAACCCAGGGTTTTGCTCCTTAAGGTGCAGGACACTGTAGTTTCATGAAATAAGCCTTATTGCATTAACATCAAAGACACTTAAAAGGAGTTTCTAGTTAGGTTTGTTTGTTAAGTAATATCCAGTTAAAATATAAACAGAACTTCTATTTTTCTTTCAAAGATCTCTGGCTGGATTATGTCAAGGAGGAGCTCAGTCATCCCCAAGGCAAACCAGAAAACTGTGGGAGCATTCACTGGCGAGCTATGAAGATGCTGCAGGGAGACCTGGTGGAAGATTTTGTTTCCAAATACACTTTATTGCAAACTGGACATTTATGAAAAACTATAGTATTACACATTACTGTTGTAATGTGACAGTACTGTTGTAATGTGACAGTGCATTTTTTTAACTTCTTTGTACAGAGGTAAATATGTTCCTGGATCTTATTAAAGTTTACCTTCTTTACATTCTGTGTGACAAAAAAAGAATCATCTGTTCCACTGCAGTTGTTTCTAGTGTTGCTTTTGCCAGGGGCAGGTTCAAGTGCACAATTAGAGAAAGCAAAAGCATCTCTGAGGGTGTTCTCATTGAGACTTCTGAGAGCAAATTCTTCATCCTGCCTAAACATTCAGATAGTTATAATGCATCAGCTTTTACAACTTTGGAAAGTGAATATTACAGCATCTAAATGCAAAAAACCCCAAACCAAACCCCACAGAAACTACTATACCTGTGGGTGATCTCTGTATTTTACCAAGTTGAATAATTAAAAGTGGAACACTTTTCATTAGGTAATCAGAAATCAGTAAAAATACAGTATTTATTGTTTCCTAGCTTCAAAGTCATCTGTAATCTTTACAGCAAAACCAGAAACAGCTTCTGCAGTCCCTTTGCATTGGTGTTTGCATCCTGAGAGTGACTGAAAGGTAGAGGGGAGCTGAGATCTGTTAGCACTGTCCCTGAGGTGAGAGCAGAAGGTTCTGATCTACACTTCAACTTTCTGTCCACAGTGCCTGAAAAACGGGTACTGGCTTTTTGAACTGTTGTTCTTGGCTGTTTAGAGAGCCACGTTTTCCCATGTCAAAGCCAATAAATCAGCATAAATTCTATCCTTGGATCAGTACGGAAACATAAGGAAAGTAGAGGAATGTAGAGCAATAGTTCCTTCATGTAATTTCCCAGTGACTGAAGAGTGACATAATGACAATACAGGGAAATACTACTTCAAGATTTTTCACTCAAATAGAAGCTGCAGCTTTCTCAAGCAACGAATTCCACTAACTTTTGACTAGCTAGAAAAGTTTGGAGCAGCAGCAGCTTGTTAAAATTGCTCTTTCTGTGGCCAGATCTGAAGGACATCCTGCTTTGTCTTTCTCAGGATTTTAGCCAGGCCATCCCCTATGCCCCCATTAGTTCCCTGCCATCTCACGTCTGACCTGGAGATTTCCTTACTGACAATCACTTACACCCTCTCTGCCCTTACTCTGTTACTCCTGAATCACTTCTTGCTCCTTCACTTGCACAACTAAAAGCTTTTAAGTGCAAAAGGTTTTAAGCTTTTTTGTTTTAAGTCCAGCAAAGCCGGTAACTCCACCATTTCAGAAAGTGGGCCCGTTTTCTTCACCTATTCTGGTTCCTCACAGAATTTTGCCACTCACGGCAGTTCCTGCAGCACCTCCCAGGGATACACGTTCCCTGAAAGCTCATTTGCCTGACACCTGCCACAGCTGTTCAGCCCAGGTGCTTCCCATCTCTTCATGCTTTATCTGAGCATGCTGCCAGCGCCAGAGGGAGTTGGTTTGTCACAGAGCTTGGGGAGGTATTGAGACTTTATTTCCAGCTTCATGAGCATAAAGGTATTTTCTCCCAGCTCTTAGGTCTGTTACTTCTGGACGCAGTCTCCACTCTGTGGTGGTGGTGGGTCATGGATTGGACTGGATGCCCTCAGGGGCTGGAGCGCGAGCAGCGCCCCCCTCAGTTCCAGCCTCACGCCCGGAGCCGCACCCGGTTCCTCGGGCACAGCCGCGGGGCCCGCCGAGTTGGCGGTGCCCTGAGGG